AGAAATTGCAAGAACAAATTGTACTTATACTTTGTAAGCTTGAGAAGATTTTTTCCCCTGCTTTTTTTGATGTCATGGTCCACTTAGCAATTCATTTGCCTTATGAGGCTATGCTTGGAGGGCCTGTGCAATATCGATGGATGTATCCTATTGAGAGGTATAACTACGATGGGGGTGGCTTTTTCATTTAAATATAGTTCAATATGACCATACTAACGATCAAGTTGATGTTTACTTATAGGATGCTTGGCCTTCTTAAAGGATTTGTGGGCAATAAAGCTCAGCCAGAAGGCTCCGTTGCGGAGGGCTACATATCGAAAGAGTGAGTGTACGATGTTTTGTTCAATGTATTTGGATAGAGTTGAAATGGTGTTTAACCGGGAAGAAAGGAACTACGATGGGGGTGACAATGGCCTGGGGTTGGCGATTTTCACTCAAAATGTTCGTTTTTTTGGTCAACTCCCAAGGGTAATTGATGTGTCTGTAGCTGACCGCGAATTGGCTCATTGGTTTGTCCTACACAATAGTTTGGAAGTTGACAAATATCTAGAGTATGATTCCTCATCATATATTCAACATACATTTTGTACATCGCTTTTATTTCTTAAAGTCTTCATTATTCCAATTACTTATGAATTACATTGTATTAACTAGGGAACATAAACTCGTGTTGTAACAAACATATAGAAGTTCAGGCAACATTGCGACGCGACAATGCAAAGAATTTCCTAAATGGTTCAAAGATCGCGTAAGCTAAAACTCATTAGTGTATAGTTCGTAGATAACGTTACATTATTCTAAGTTTGAATTAACATGACATACTTTCTTCTGTAGATGAACCAATTACGAAATCAAAAGTCACCCGAAGCAACCGATGAGATGTGGTCATTAGCCAATAGACCTAACGCCTTAGTGAACACATATTTGGGATGCATTTCTAATGGCGTCCGATTCCATACTATCGACCGTGATAACTGTCATAAATGTCAAAATAGTGGGTTGGTAGTGGAAGGCTACCACCAAGGCCAATTGATAAAGTTCTACGGCTACCTTTGTAAAGTGTGGGAACTGACATATTTGTTTGCAAATCAGGTTGTTCTGTTCCAATGTGAATGGTATAACACCGGTAGTAGTCGAACTTTGTGTGTCGAACCACATGTGACAACTGTTGATGTAAGAAGTCAATGGAATAAAGATGACTCGTTTGTGTTCCCAAGCCAAGTTCAACAAGTTTTCTATGTTCATGATACGAAGTTAGGGCCTAATTGGCGAGTCATAGAAAAGTTTCAACATCGACGAATTTGGGATGTACCAGAGCTGGATGTGCCAGAATATGATGAAGTGTTGCAAGAAGATGAAACCACTACTGTTGTAGCAACTGAGCTTATTGATAATGATGTTGTTTTGCATCGGGATGACATTGAACCTGAAATTATTTCAATAGAAGTTTCTCAGTCCAAAAAGCGTGTACAACCCAAGGGTGTTATGGATGATGCTTTCAGCTGTGATGATGATGATGAACTAACAATCGCGGGTGATGACAAAGAAGAAGATGAGATAGAAAGTGATTTTGATACAGATACGGACCTAGAGTTTTAACTCACTTTGTTGTAAAATTACTTTATATGTTCTGTAAGTACGTTGTTGATGAACTTCGCTTCTTTGTCTGGCTTGTTTTGTTGATGTAATGGGGGCAATTAAGAATATGGTGTTTGTTCTTCTTGTATTACGTTGTCATATGTTACGTGCAATTCCTTAATTTTGTGCAATGTTCAACCTCTTAAATTGATGAACCTTGTAATTTGAATTTCAAATTCTGCTCTTGGTTATTCAGTAAATTAGTTTTAAATGTGAGTAGACTAATTATGTCTTGTTTCTTCTTCTTCTTCTTCTTCTTCGAACCCCAGTTTCCCAAGTACATTCATATTCTATGAACTTAATACCCTTGTAATTAATTTCCTCTACGATTTCTATGAACTTTGGCCGAAAATTGAAAATCAAATTCATAGTCAAGTCAAATTTTCCATTCGGTCTGCTGTCCTATTTGGCAGATTTTTCCACAATCTGTGGCAGATTTACTCATCTGCTCTGTCTCTAGTTGCGGACTTAGAGCGTTTGCTGCTATTTTTTTTCCACTTTGGCTGCTTGACGCTTGATTGCTATGCTTAGGTGCTAGCTGATGGTTGTTAATCATGTTGTGTTTGTTAATATGTTGGTATTCATGCTTGACCTTTTTTTTTCATGCTTGACTTTTTTTTTTTTTGGTTGCTTAATCTGTTGGTAGTCATGCTGCTGTACTTATTTTTTTCTGTTGCTTGACCTTTTTGATTTTTGATAACTTAGGTGTTTGTTTTGCATTTCTCACTGGTCACTAAAGCAGTGTCATGTAAATTCATTTTTCTTTAGTTCTGTAGAATGTAGGACTGTTGCTTTTGGGTGCTAATCTATAGGGGATCTGTTTTGTTTGCTTTGGTAATTTAATGTGTTATAGTTTATGACCAGGATCACTTTCGCATGGTTACATAGTCATCCTTGGTTGCATCTCAAACCTCATTTTTGGCATTCTACCATCTCAGCTACAATATACACTACATTATGGACAGCCTTCGTACATAAGACTGTGAAATCCTATTGGTGGGTATTTATCAAAAAAAAAAAAAATTTGTTTAAAAAAAAAAGAGGGGAGCTGAAATCCTGATAGTACATAGTTTTTGTGGATAGATGGCTACTTCCAACTAAAACTTTGCTCTTGCCAACATTGATGAATTCTAATTGCGTACTGTGAACTAAGATAAGAACAGTTTTCAAGCTTCAACTACTTTTAGTAGAAGGCTAAAACTGGTGCTAGTGCACAAACTATTATCACTGATCAAATTTGTCAATAACCTTTTCCCACATGCATAAATTGTGCTCATATGACATGTCTCTCAGTTTCATTACTTAGATATTGTGTTATCTATCTCTTAATTTAGTAAGTTGAGGTTACTAACTTTATAGTGTTCTTTCATTCACTAGTCGACATTTATTCGTCCCTTACATTGGTCAGTAATGGAACAAAAGATTTCTGCACTTTTGAATGACAGTAAGAACTGATGTAGCTCACTTCTCATGAAACAAAGATCTTAATCACTGAAGTATGCTCTATCTGAAGTAAAGTTGTGAAACTCAAGTGGAATGATAGTCTTGCAACACATTCCCTTGCCATATGTTCTTGCAATTGAGTCAGGATTATAATTCTTATGCCAGTTGAGCTGCACTTTTTGGAGGTGTGTCAAGCTTGAAGAGTTTTGCATCTTACACCACCTAACAGCTTACACATTACCTTGCCATATGTTCTTGCTTATTTTTTTTCGTTGTGTGATTTTTTTTTACTTTTTAATTTTATAAACTTGAAGTTAGGTCTTTCTTTTTGAATAATTCTCTACTACTACCAATCTTACGTTATTAGAAACTACAAATACAAGAGTCCAACTGTGATTGGTTGTCAAAAAAATAATGACATTTAAACATCCAATGATGTTTGGACATTTATGTATGTGAGGTTTATGTAAATGTATGTAAATGACATATGTGAGGTTTATGTAAATGTATTTAAATGATGTATGTGACGTTTATTACTCATGTATGTTTGTTATTTTTTTTATGTAGGTACCATGGTTCCTGGAATCAAAACGGGACAGCGGAAGAGAGCAACAAGTGGCAACGTATTTTCAGCCTCTGAAGCATGTCCACCCGAGATTGGCACCCTGTTGACATTCACTGATGACATGCAGCCACCAGATGATACACAAACAATGGTGGAGGAGACGCAGCCAGGTGGCGTGGGTAAGAGCATTGAACTTAGTTGTTTACAAAAAAAAAAAAAAAAAAAAAAAATTTTTTTTTTGGGTTTTTTTTGGGTGCATAAGTCGGGTCTTTAAGGCAATGAAAACCCCATAAAGAGAAAGCAAAACAAAGAAAATATTAACATCAGCTAAACAGTGTCCAGAGCTGACTGTATAAGATCCATCCTGCCTATAGTGCCCAACCCTTCCATTCATTTTGATGGAGATGCTGATTGGTAAGGAAAGGATCAGTTGTGTATGGTTATGCAATTATCTCCACCTTCCACCCACTACTAAAAAAACCACTTTTTGAGACCGCTATAAACCGTCGCAAATAATAAAAAACAGTCGCAAAAGACTTTTTGCGACGGCCCATGCGACGGCAAATGGGGGTCGCGAATATGGGGGTGGCAAATACTTTTTGCGACGGCAAAACAACGGTTGCAAATTATTTGCGACCACCTAAACTACTTATGGCGACCGCTATTTTGCTGTCGCAAAAAACAAAAAAAAAAACACTAACATGATCTTTGGCGACCATCTTGTTACCGTCGCAAAAAATTAAAAATAAAAATAAAAATAAATAAATGAAAGTGTAGCGTTAAGCACTCTAGGAATAACAATGACAAGAATTCAGACAGTATAGCATTATAGTTTTATTGAACATTCTATTTGAGTCTCAAAATTTGAGCTACATGTAAAAATTATTACAACTAAAAACTTGAAAAAAGTTCTTTTATGAAAAAAATACAATCCAGAATTGGCCAATCTTCTCATCAATTTTCTTGCTCGGGTGTTTCTCCACTCTATCAATGAACTGGCATAACACCTTGCACCCATATTCATCAAGATCATTTCAGCAAACACTTCCACTAATGCTTTGGCAACCTATAATTGATGCCAACCAAAAATGTCACAAGCAACAAAGATGAATTATTTCACTATAAAGGTGAGAGCAGAAGTCCTTTCAGATTCATGGGGTTAATTTTTGGAGCGCATGTGCATGTGCAAGCAAGCACACACATAATTATTCTATGTCAGATGAACATAAGAAAGACTAGAAAATATAACCAAAATTCTGGTTATCATAACAAAAACAAGTGAAACAAGAGGGATTGCGGGAACTATAATATGTACAATAGAACTACTAGTGTAATCTAGTGCCAAATTAAAAAAAATTCCACTAATTTGCAAAAAAAGAGAATTTTTTTTGAAGAACTAATTCTAGAAAACTAAAAGACATACCAAATTTAAAATCAATGTCACAATGAAGAAGTATGAAGCAAATAGGAACATACAACAGAAGCTCCACAAGCCGTGGACAGACACCTGCCTCAAGCACAGCTTGAATTTTGTCATTTCGACTAAGATGAGAATTTTCCTGAGAAACTTCATACACAGATGGTATAGGTGGGGACCTGGTTCTTTTTGTAGCCTGAGCATCCACATTCTTGGTTGCAAATTTTTTTTCTAGAATCATAAGGTAAGACTGCAGGTTGCTCTTGGCGAGTCCATGAGTTGCTAAAATTGCTTGGCAACTTTGCCTGGTTACCCCATACAGGGGGAGATACAGCAGTTCTGTAAGACAAATCAACAGCATAATCAGATAAATTTGGGGAAAATTACACATATCTTAGGATAAACTATGTGCTACTAACTAGAGCATGTCCGAAATGAACAGAAAATTCTCTTAATAAAAAGCACATGACTTTAACCATTTAACCAACAACGGTAATATTCTTTACTACCATTTTACAACAATGAGCAACCAAAAAAATACCAAAAGAGCTCTGCGAACCGCAATTTTGACAATTTTTTAGACAGGTATTTAGTAAGATACTATATGATTGACATGGGATGAGGCAAAGCAGGCCTCCTAAACCCAAAATGAGCCCACATCTACACCTGTTAAAAGGGCTTCAAACCCCATCCAGTATGGATATTCAGAGCAGGTTACCTAATAGTCCCGATATATGCCCATCCTGGTAGACGTTGTCAAGGTACTTGCAGCCCAAACCTTAACCCCAGCCATGGGTCCTAATGCACGATATCCTGTGGGAGTCTGGTGCAGCACAAGACATGTTATAATTAAGAGATCTGCGGTTTCAACTATATACCAGATCATAATTCTGGACCTATTTATTCATGATTTTATCCCAAATTTTCATCAAAAGCAACCAACATCTGCAATAGCAATGTCATAGAACATGGTGCATAATAGACAAACTTTCAATGTTTTTATCCTCCAGATGCAGTGGAACTTGTTACTAGATTCTAACCTTCCACTTGCATTGCTTGAGTACGAGCAACATGCTTAAATTTTCCATAACATTAACAAATACACAGTAACGAGCACTTGCCTACACACACAGAAGGCACAGCTTATGTTACAAATACCTCTGAGTTTCAACAAAAGGACCAAAATTGTCAACAGAATGATGGTTTTCTGGGAAAAAAGGAGGTGGTCGTGGCCTCTGAGGTACAAGCTGCCCATGATCATTGAAGAGTGAATCTAAAGGCCTACCCAAATAAACAAAGCAAAAGTCGTTAGATACTTAAAATAAACTGCAATAGAAGACCATAAGTCTTAAAAATGCTATTTGTCATTTGGAACAAGTGATAGAACGATTAGAATAAAATTGATAGGTGGGTGAAGGGAAATGCAGTCCACACATAGATAATTCAGTAGAATGATTCACGATCCATGAAATAACAGAACACACCCATACGAAATAAAATAAAATTAAAAAACAAGATAACTTTTAGGATGCAAGTACAGTAATTCTGAATAAATTATACGAACCTGCCAGAACGTGTAGTAACCTCTCCACTCGTGGGCATATATAAAGAACTCTTTTTCGGGTCCACAATGCCAGAACTTATATGGAAACTTGAAGATCTTCATGTACACCATCACATCACATTTCTCAATGGCCTCCATTTTCCACCTCTGTTTCATAATTTTATTCATTTGTTAATTTTCGAGTATATAATAATAGCAATAAAGGAGAAGATCATGTCAGCAAGCATTCTTAGGTGAAGGGACCACAACCAAGCATGTAGAATAATTTAAAAATACTGTATATATTTTAAAATTATGTGAAGATGTTATACATGTGCATTGGTTCAGCAACTTCCTGCAAAGAATTTCTAGGCACAGAAGCTCAACCATTTAAACAATTCAAATAATACATATTTAGCATTGTAAGAAGAAGGGAAAAAAAAAATTTCATCCAAACTAATAGAGAGTTTGTTTCACATGCATATTTTGAGAGTGGAGAAGGAAAAAAAATTTGGTCAAAGTTAAATTTCAATGTAAGAAGAAGAAACGAACCTCGTTTTATCTTTTTATCTAAATTTCTTATTTAATAACACTTTAAATTAAATTAATTTAACTACCTTAATTTATTATTATAAAAATTAATCATCAAACTACTTTAATCTAGTTTTCAATTTTTAACTCAATTTTTTATTTAACAACATTTTAAAATAAACATAAACATACATATATTAATTGGAACTGTGATGTATCCTTCTTAGGCACAAGAGTCACAATCAAGGACACAATGTATTAATTGTATCAGAGTATACTTAAGTATCCATTAAACAAAGTGAAATGATCAACGTAACATATATATAATCAGCAGACCTTGAACCTAATTGAGATTAGAAAATCATCAAACACGAGAGATTCATGTATCTAATTGAGATAATCAAATCATCAAACACAACAAGCAACGTAAATTATAGTTAAAATTCGAATCAAATTGTTTACCTGAACCGAAGCTTGAGTCCCAGCTGACACGATCGCAGTCGCAGCAGCAGCAGCGCTTATCGTATCTAGAGAGTTGTTGTTCGTGCTTCTCATCTCTCGGTTTTTTTCTCTTTGCTCGATCAAACAATTAACCTAATTTCACTCAACAATTTTCTGTTTCATCGTCGATCAAATCTCGTAGAGGCTGCATCTTTCTCAAGAAAATTCAACTTAGAAAATTGAATTTGCAGTCAGAAAATGAAATTGAAGATCAGAGAAACAGAGAATGGTGAAGAAAGTGAGAGACCGAGAGACAGAGATTCATACCACTGGAGCTGCGACAATGGCGAGCAAGAGAGCGAGAGAGACAGTTTGTGAAGTGAGAGGGAAAGGGACTAGGGAATTGGCATATAAAATAAATAAAAGAAATAGGAATAATAAATTGAGCAAAGTAAAATGATGTAGTTTTGAACTATTTTCCATTCATTTATTTTTTTCATCCGCTTTTTTCCCGCTTGCAAATATTTTTTTTTTTGAGACGGTTAAATAGTCAGTTGCAAAAAATTAGACGCAAAAAGTCAATTTTCTAGTAGTGATATGTGCCTCGATGGTTCAAATCAGCATCGGACATGTCCTTCACTCCTAACAAGCTACCAATTCCATCGTTACCAAACAGTAGTTCTGGATCATTAAGAGCTACACCAAATATTTCTTCATAGTTCTCAATATTCAAGTCAACTTCCTAAGAGAAAGAAGTACAGTATGATGATTTCATGCTATAATTGAGAATTGGTTCAAATCAGCATCGGACATGTCCTTCACTCCTAACAAGCTACCAATTCCATCGTTACCAAACAGTAGTTCTGGATCATTAAGAGCTACACCAAATATTTCTTCATAGTTCTCAATATTCAAGTCAACTTCCAAAGAGAAAGAAGCACAGTATGATGATTTCATGCTATAATTGAGAATACATATTCACACACACACCCCATTGGGAATTGATGAAAAGGTAAAGTCGTACCTAAGAGCTCACTTCCTGTGTAGCTTTATCATGGACCTTAGAATACGATTGGCCAGATTCAGCAGACTTTAGAATACAAGTCCTGGAAAAGAACCAAATTCACTTCAACAATTACATATGCACTTCATTTTCACATTCAAGTGAAAGGAGACTAAAACAATGTTTACAAGACCTTTTTACCTAACATAACAGAACCAAACTCCACTAACTTCCTTCTATCTATTTTTTCTACTAGAGCTTTGAGCTCTTTGCTTTTCTTCAGTTTACACAACACACCACATCTTATTTTATGACCTTTTTTTTTTTTCTCCCTCTTACCCACATGTAGAACTTATACACATTACAAAAACTTGAAATTTTTTCTCCTGGTCTTCAATTATAACATTACTTCCTAAAATAATCTTTCTAGAAAGAAGAAAAACTACAATCAATGTAATTTGAGTATTTCAACACAAAACTTGGAGTTTTAACCAAGTAATTTAACACCAGAAGGCACTACATATATACTTACATATATAAAAAAGCATTTAAAAGACTTGCTTAGGCACTAAAAGGTCAGAATTCTTCACTAAAATTTCTAAGTTTACAAGGTTTTCACTTATTCCTTTAGAGCATAGCATAAAAGCCACCAAAATCACAATTTTTTGCTACCTTTTTCTACTGCATAGAAGAACTACCATCTCTATTTTTTTTTAGTTTGCTAGCTTACAGGCACACACAGCCCTCTTTTCTCATGTTTTCTACAAAGAGGTCCCTGCATATATTAAAATTACCCACTACAGGACATACATACACTGACAATTTCTAAACAAAAGATTATTATAAAAAATTAATAATAGTAATTAGTTGTCACTCATGTAGTTATTGGTTAGATTATTATAAAATTATCTCATTTCCTATACATCAATAATGAGCGAGTGATACAAAAGGTAATCAAAATAGAGAAATTCTATAGCTCACATCTTTAGTATTCTTTTATTACCAGAAATGAAAAATAACCTGATATGTAGATTGGAATTTTAAATTGAAAAAACAAGGCAATGGGATGATAAATTCTAATTCTATTTACATGGCAAACAAATTCAAAGATCCAAAGAATAATAAATAAATATAGAATAAGAAGTCAAACAATTAATAAATAAATATAGAATAAGAAGTCAAACAATCCTAAACTTTACAATGGTTTACAATATGAAAGATAGAGCTGCGTGAAGTTTTAGTTTGGAAAGCCACTAAACTGACATTCTTGTAAAATCTCATATAGAAGATGGGGACAAGAGTTGGGGACAGAAGATCCCAATAGAAATGATGGCATTCTAAAAAGCTCACCTAAATGTGTCTCATTATTTTATTATTAACATGAATGGATACAGAGAGAAGTAAATCAAACTTTAGCAGTAAAGTTTACCTTGCAGAAGAAACGGCGACAACACTAGTTTGGCCTGCTGAGTGTGCAAAAGATGCTAGGGTTTCAGCTTGCATTTCAATTGAATGTTTACCGCAAAACTTATAACTTGAACTCAAAACCTGCAAACCTAAGGATGCATAGATAGATCATAAATGATCCAAAATTATAGATGGAATATGAGAAAGCTAGATAAGTATTTATAGGGAGATTCAAAGACCGAGAGAGATAGAGAGAAGCAAACTGAAGGATATTGAAGCAACCAAGTATCAATACTGAAAATCATATTTTCCATTTTTCCCTCCAATTTTTGAGCAAGGAAACAAATTAATAGAGAGATTGAAGCAACCAGATATCAAAAAAGAGCCAACACATCCCCTGAGTTTTCCAGAAATTAATCCAGTATATCATCACAAACTTCCACTCAATCACATATAATATGTACCAAATCACTCCAAAATCTATACACATAGGTATTTGAAATACATATAAATAAGAGAATAATTGAATTAAATCAAAGTGATTCAATCAAATATCAAGAGTTCAAACACATTCAAATTGAATATTGCAAGGGTCATTTATCGATCCAAACCCTAGGAGTAGATTCAAATCGCAAACTAAGAAAACATGGAGTAAGATAGAAATAGAGAGAAGAATTTTCGAGAGAAAGTACCTTGAACTCGATCGAAACCCTAGGTGTAGATCGAAACCCGAAAACAAGAAGAAACAGAGAAAGAAACTTGAGAGAGAGAGAGCGCGTACCTTCAATGATCGAGTTCGAAACAGAGAGAGCACAAGATTGAGAAGAACATGAAAGGGAGAGCGAGAGAGAACGAGATTGAAAGATTCATACCAGTGCGAACTGAGAGAGAGAGAGAGAGAGAGAGAGAGAGAAAAAGAGAGAGAATACGTGTAAGAGAGAGAACAATCAGTGTTTGTGAAGGGCAGGGCAAATAAAAGGAAAATGGGAAAATAAATAGAAGGAAATAACGAATAAATTGGTTGTTTGCGACGGATAATCGGGTGGCTGCAAATTATATGGTAGCAAATAGTCATTTTTTTAGTAGTGACCCATGTGTATTAATATTAACATCAATAGAGATTTCTTCCACTCCTGTATATGTTTCATCATTTTATCCTCGTCTTCAACTACTCTTAATTTGAGATGGTAACGACTACTTTTGTAATTAATAGTAACATTAATGATAGAAGCCTACCGTTCTTTGCAAAACTAACATGGATAACAACAACAACAAAATGGGGGTAAAACATATTTGTGGTGTTGGAGCAGAAATATAACTGCTGTCTCATCTAAATACCAATATATCGTCAATTTTTTTTGGCTGCTGAAACGAAGAAAGGAAAGAAAATCATATTTTTATCTCAAGTTTAACAAAGGCAACACATATAATCTTTGGTTGGCCTATAGTTGGTTGAGGTGATATTATAGCTTTATTGTGCTTGAAGTATTTAAAATTCAAATATGTAAATTATGTTGTAGATAAAGTTCATTGATTTAGTTGAGTTCTAAACTTAAAAGACACCAAGGGTTGTACACTTATAATTAATAGTATTAGTTTGATAGTCACTTATTGTCTTGTTGTTACAATGCTTTTTTGTTTACAAAGGCTTCAAAAAAATAGGCTTCTATATAAAGTATATTGTTTGTTCATTGCTTCATTTCCATGGAGGGGAAATTCCAGAAAATTTGGGGTATTGGCTGTTTACTAATTTAATGGTTAGAGAACTGTGACTTGTCATTCTTCATTGGTAACACCTTTGCTGTGACTTTTTCTTTTTTTCTTTTTTTTGAAAATTTAAAGCTTTTTAATGAATTTTACTGAAGTTTTTAATGTGTTTCTTTTACACTGTACCCGGCCTACATAACAAGTTTATATGTGTTTCTTTTTTTTTAATGAAGCAACAACCAATACTCTCACATCTTTCAGGAAATTTGTTTGTAATTTGTGACTTTCTTCCCCTTTTGTACCAGGGAAAAAAAGGTCAACTCGTGTATGAGGACCTACATTAGGCAAAGGAGTGCAAAAAAAAAAAATAGCTTGGAAAAAAGGAGAGGAATCACATGTGTATATCAATCGGGCATTGAACGCAATCACAAGAGGAAGTGCCACCCCAGCGACGAATGAGTTGGGATTGCAAATTAGACGGTTGTGCCCTCTTCA